TCATTAAAACTAATAATATAAAGCTATTTTGTTCCAATATAATCATAGTTAAAACATTTATAAATTCAGTAATTCAATAAATACATTTCTACCGCCTATTTGTTTGATTGATTTGCTAAGCACTATTTCGTTCGTTAATATATTGTTTTTTGTTTATAATTTTATAGACTTACTACAATTATACTATTTACAACATTATGACGTATTTTACATAAGCATTTTTATCAATAATAATTTCTAAGATGATAATTTTAAGGTATTAACAAGTGTTTTGGTATAGTCAGTCACATAGATTACATTACATTTAACTATTACATTATAAAATAAATATGTTAAAATAATAATATTTATAAAAGTTTGTTACATTTTTTGTATGGTAGAAACGTAGGTGACAAATAAACATACGGCCCATCTGATGGTAATCGTAGCGTATACTGTTATGCCATCTTGTGAACATATTTCGTACAAGAAATAGTATAAACATGAGACTGTTAAAACAAAACAAATCTTATAACCCCAGAAATTTCTATTATAATTTACATATTTTTTTCAATGATGAAAGCCGATATTCAAAGTTTCGTATGTAAGTAATACTTTATGCTGGAAACTTTGTATGTGCGTTCGAATATTTTATGCATTATTATTATTAAATAAGTAAATTATTCAATGGCATAAGTTGAAACAAATTTTTAGTTTTGTTTTTATGTATTAGCAAACATGTGATTGTTTCAACAGATAGATAGTGATTATCATCGCTTATATATCTACAAGATTACCACCAGGGCCACGTCACCATGATGTCGATGGTATCCCTCGTGAATTGCCATTCTCAAAAACTATAATATTATACTGTCGCACCCCATAATTTCACTGACATACATATTACACCTTACATCTCAAACACAGCTTACAAAAGAAGCTGTTTGGTTAAATATGTGTGATAGAGGTACCCATGCCATCGATTTTGTATACAGTTTACCCAAGGGTAGTACTAGTTAGACTTATGCAATCATCATCATCACCATCATCTGCTTCCTTATCCAGTTATTTGAGGTCTTCTATTCATCCCTGTTAGGCAACCTATACGTATAGTAACAATACAACTAATCTATACAGCAGTAACCTGTCTGTAAAGTTATATGAATGAACTAAATTTATTATTGGGCGATTTTATTGCAATGTAATAGGATCCAAAATAATGATTGTTGTAATTTTTGTCTATTTATCCGTGCGTTTATGTGCGATTACGTGCTATTTCCATTAATATATTATGCCAAGCTTCACTTAAAGTAGTGTTTCATTTATTCTAGTCATTTAAAAACTAAACAGTTATACAAACAGGACATGACGGGCTCAGTTAGTGTACGATAGAGGCCTCAAAAGTCAACGCGTTCTCAAAAACATCAAATGATCAATCTCACTTCATCAGCTACTATGCACGTAACTCGGAGGTCACGTTTTCAGGTCTCAAGGGTTCTACCCGGTTTCTTTCTGAGGACGCTCAGACGCGAGTAATAGAAAATTTCTTAACTCAATTTGTCTATTGCGGACGTAAGAATGGAGACACAAAATATTGCTCAACTAATGAACGCTTGGGGAGAATGTGTGCAGTTACGAGAATTGTTGCACCGTATAAACTTTAGAGAGGTTCCTAAAGGTTTTAGGAACCGGTTTCGCTATGATAGATTTTCTGAGCTTAACACACCGGACTTAAAACGGATATATATTTTAAAAATAAAATACATCCTTCATACACACATCCACAGCTACTCACTAAACTAGGAGCTAGCTATGAAATCGGTGAAACGATTTTTAAAAACTTTTTTAACTCTACTGTACTCTTCAATTCATTCATTAGAATCTACCGTATCGTATAATCTAGTTTTTAAATAATTCTTTATTATTATAATATTAGTTTGTATTTGTTTGAATCTTAAAAAATGTCGCAAGCGCAGACATTGTCATTATCAGTGTTACTGCTTAAGTACAAAGTGCTTAAAACATTTTCAATGTTTATGTGATACGAAATAAAGTAATTTCATCATTTTTGTTATAATATTTACTTTGAAAATGTATTTCGTAAAAATATAAGAAACACAGAAGAGACGCAATAAGATCCATCGCTTAGAATACCAAATGATACAATTAAATTACGTTATACTTGAGAACCACATATTATATGAGATTTATTTCATAGAATTAATGAACCTAGCAAATTACTGCTCCAAACATAATAAATAACATGTATACATAAACACAGTAAGTAATCAGGTTTCTAATATACACTCCTAGGCTATTTCTTTACGAAGCTCAAAAAATACTTTTTATTTTACTCAAATGGGTAAATACCTAGTAGTATATATACTACTACTAGGTATTTACCTAGTATATGATTACAAAATTGCCTTTCAATTAAAAAAATATATATAAAATTTGAGGTTAGGTCGTTGTTGAATCGACTCAATTAATTTAATTAATTAATTAGATGAGTGAGTCTACTCAAAAATTATTTTAGTCATTGATACGATGTCAACATTATTTATATAAAATACATACAATATTATTATGAGAATGAAATAACAAAAACTTTTTATAAAATAAATTTTAATTATTATAATTGCAGTAATTTATTTATTATCTCATATTTAATTATACCAAATAATATTTGATTACCAAACCTTCCTCAAAAATCAGTATGTTGATGGATGAAATCCTTTCAGAAGCTTTTGAGATTATCAGGAATTATACAGAGAGACGCGGCTTTGTTATACATGGTGATATGTGATACATTTTCATTTATTTAATTTTAATATGTATAGATAAGTAATATATATTTAATGAAATAAAATATATACTTAATAGATATGGTTTTAATAATATAGTCATTATCATCCTATATTAAATATTATACATTTTTAGAAAATTTGCTTGTAGTAAACTGTGTCTTTTATATTTTTTCGGATAATCAATATCGTTAAAAATGTTTAGTGTCGGTCAATGTCAAACTAAAGTATAACCATAGACTGCGACCCTTTCATTATTTTTCGTTACAATTATTATCTATTCCCTACTAATTACAATTTTGTAGTGAACATTAATTTAGACTTAGTATAGGTTATTTAATCATTAGAACATATGTTAAAATATGAGGTATATACATTACGAATACATTCTTTTATTTTTCGTTTTTATTATCTTCAAAAGTATATTAACAGGTAGCTTAAAATACTACTAAAACTATTTTATAATAATCAATTAATAATAATAATAAATGTGGAAAAAAAACCAGCAAAAGCTGAGAGAATGAGAGATAATAATAATAATAAATTTATAATATCTAATCTAAAAATTATTACCGAATAGTCCGTCGGTACGAGTTCGATGTACACACATAATCTTGTAATATTATATGCCTGATACGGATATATACATACTTATATATTCTTTTATGTTGTAGGAAAACTTCCAACATATTTAGTTTGTTCATCTATCCTGCTTATTTAAGACATTACTGTCACTGTGGTTACTTACAACTTAATATGAAAAAATATTTCGGCTTCTTGTCTTGCACATCTTTCATTTTATTCTCAATTTAGTGATGTCATATACATGTATGATACATATCATTCAAACTTTGAATATATATTTATGTAGTTAGAATAGTTATATAGTTAGAAGTTGACAGGCCAGATGGTAAGTGGTAACCGTCGCCTATATACATGATCAGCATCTGGTTATCATGTGATACCACTTATGGGTTACCATTCTCGTCGACTAAGATGTTATGCCTCCATATTCTGTAATTTTACTATCTTATCTCCGCCCTTCCGCTGTAACACAGCTTACAAAGGATGAAGCTTGTCGATTGAAATAGATAAGACTGAGGTACCCACTAGATAGACTTCTTGTAAACTCTACTTCGGTAAAATTCTAATATAAATACTCGTACCTAAAGGTGTAAGATAGTATATCCTTGTATTATAACTAAATCTTTATTTCGAATGTGCTCGTAGAATTACGAAATCACTATTCAAAAGTGCTTTTTAAGTTTATTTTAATAAGGATTACTTCTATTTCTATTTTAACTGCTGTTTGCATTGCAGGCATAAATTAACATAATTAAATTGACGTTTTAGTATCTCATGCTGGGAAATACAGAACATTAAATGGACATTATCAGTTTCATTAACGTCATTACGTACTTTATTAAAATTAAAAAGATCATATCCTGTCAATATTGATTCATTTGTTAGATTAAATCATTTTCCCTATTATGACGATTCAGAGAAGATGTTTTGTTTCTTTTTTAATAGCAATTTGTAAAGTTATAATTCCAAAAATTTCGTATTAGAAACTCTGAAGAAAAGGAGTTTACGAACTACTTAAAGAAGATTATGTCCTTTGCTCTTTCAAGCAAAAAAGGAATGCTTTGTTTGTATTTTTTTACATTGAGTTCACACTTCCGGAGATCAGAAAATTAATGTCAAACTAAATAATATACCTATATTTTTTTAGTTTTCCGTATAGCAAGTTTTATGTATTATATAGTAACATTTAATGGTACGACCATTGAAATTGACATATATTAATGTATTAACACATTGTTATTTCATAGATACTGAATAATTCTTTTTTTTATAATTTGTTATTTACTTACTTTTAATAGATATTAATTATATAAATATATTTTTTTATAATATTACTATTCTATAATTAAATAAGTTTATTATTTTATTTCTTTCTAATATTTTTTAAATGTTATGTGTTATGCAATATATATGCTATTTAAAAATTAATTAATATTAAACAAATTAAAACCTTGAACAATTTATAATAATTAAATTATATTTATTTATATTTTATTCACGAAAGGAATAAATTTCATTATTTGAGTATTTTTTGTATCTATATATTTTTTTTAGTACGAAACGCTTCGCATGTTATAAAAGTGGAGCGAAATTACACGGAACGGCAAGTTTAATAATGCTTATAAAACTTACCTGTAGTTGTGAAACTGTACGGGTAACAGCAGCGCTCGCGACCGTCGGCAACAAGTGTTGTGCCGCCCTGCCGTCCGTGGCTTTATATACGCCGTTAGCGCCGCCGCCCTATGCCGCCCACCGCCCTAATCGGACCCCGCATACGACTAACATAGTTTGCATTTCAATTTTACGAATCATAATTAGGCATCTCAATTTTTCTTATATTTAATATTTTATGAGTCATTTATTTATTAATGTCACAAAAAATGACAATGTTTTCTTGTGGTATTTCGTTTTTGATGTTATATATGTATATGGTATGTTAATTTTATTTATTAGCTAACTATCCGTCCCGGTATCCGACAGGGACATATATATAAATATAGAGCTGTATATATATATCTTAAAGTATTTAACTGATTTTTTGGCTTTATATTTTTTAAATATAGATAAGATGCTAGTAGATGCTGGCGAGTTTCATAAAGCTCAAAGTAAAGTCTCTCTAGTAAAACTCAAGTTGCAAAGATATTATTTTATAAGAAACAGCTGTACAATTAATATATATAAACCTTAACTTTGATTTAAGTTTAATATTAATAACATAGTTCAACAAGGGTTGGCATTTTAGTAACAGGATGTGTCTTGAATGACAGTAACATTCAAGCATTGCGGTTCGCTCTTACCATTAGGATGGCCGTCCATCAGTGGACTGACTGACTGATTTTCATGATGATGGTGATCATGATGAAAAGTTCGTATTTGATAATGAAAGTGACAAATATACGTATTTAAGTATACGTAATATATCACATAAATGTTTGCTTAAAGTATACTGTTGATTATACAAATATAATGTTAGTAGTTAGTAGATATAGTTTTTTTTTTTATTTATTATGTATCTGAAACAATAAATAAACTATTTCGTATTCTATCATGATCTGTAATTTATGTTTGTAATAACATGGAATTAAACCTTATTTAACTATCGAAGTCTCTCAGTCATCACTTTCTTTCTTGTATTTGTATGAGTTTTTTATGGATAGGATGGCCAGTGGTTTTCACATATAACCTTCCGGAATTTACGAAAAATATTAAAATATGTTACCAAATGTTCATATTTACATTAGGTAAGATAAAAAAGAATATATCATTATTTCATATATCTAAAGAGAAAAATTATCTCTAAGAGAGGTTTTAGGGAAAATAAACACATGAATATTCACAACAATCCAGTGTAAAAGTCATCCAATACACCGAACCTATCTTATCAGAACAACACCGTATCCACGTTACGTTACTGAAATCGAAGACAGTAAGCTGAGAGTAAAAGCATTGAAGTCGTACTATGACCGATTGTAAAGGATTTAAAAGGTTATGTCTGGTTAGGAATGAATTAAGTTTTTGTGGACTAAACGTTCAAATTGAAATGTAGGACGATAATCCGAATTATTGAAATAGTATGTTGTTTGTTTCCTTATGTGTACATACATAACCTAATATTGTCCAATATATTTTGTACAAAAGATATATAATAATTTTTTAGGTACATATACTCATAACTGTATTCACAAATGGGGTAGTCAAAAGCATTTTTAACTGTCGACGATGTTATGCAGGGAACATTTGAATCCAACGAATTTTAATTTGGTTTCTTATTATTATACAGTTAGACTCAAATTTAAATTGGTATATCATATTTTTGGTATTACTGTTTCAGTATTACGAACTTTGAGGTCATTTAATCGATAAATTGGTGTAACAATAAAACATATTATATTTCTTAGAGTCCGAAAAGTTCTATATAAATCGATTTAATTTAAAAAAATGTAAACTATTATTTAATAATTATCAGAAACTTCTGTATTAGGAATATATTAAAATTTCGAATTCATTTAAATTATCTGATTTAAATTATAAAGATTTCGAAGCAGACAGAGAGAGCCAAGTTGTCTCTATTCTTACTTCAGCTACTTTCATAATTCCCCTCGATGTTAGTTTCGGAGACACTTAAAATTTCTCACAGTGAGCACATTAAGTTCACGAAAGGTCATCCAATGCTTCCTTGATATTTACGTCATTTCATTTTTATATGATATCAGCATCAATCATTCATTTCACATGCTTTCCGTATGCTCAAACTCACGTATCATAGTACAGTCATTAGTACCTTCTCATTTTACGAGTAATATCGACCCTTTCCAATATATTCGCACATGTATTGCGAATATAATATGCCTGATTTAATTCAGAGAATCCTGCACTTTTTTGTACTTCAATTTTATTATACGTAATAATATATATCTACGTACAATTTGTACGCAATTGGAATATATTATATAATAACATAACAAGTTGACTATGTACGATGGTAAGTGGTAATTGGTGTCTATATACATAAATAGCACTATGATCATCATGTGACACCCGTGGTACCATTCATGCATTGTCATTCGAGAGGACTAGGATGTCGTACCTCTTATACTGTAATTTCACAGCATAATTTGAAGCAAGCTGCTTGATCGCTGTAATAGTCTTCTTATTGAAGTCACTCATTGTATCCGCTGTGATTACTCTGCATATTATGTCAGTACTATAAATATTTCCCTACCGGATCCCCGTTACATCCACATTACTCACCTTTATCTACTGTTATGTATGTAAATAATGGGTAGTTTCATTATTTAGTTGTAAGTTGATTTATGTGTGGTACCGACCGACCTATACAATTGTTATGACAATTAAATGAGTTTTCGTTTTCAATCTAAACCAGGTTGTATATTTTAGTAACTGGTTCTGAAAATTTTAATTTCAAACCTCATTTTGTTTTATTTCATTGAAATGGTAATAAGCTGACGGCCCATCTGATCATAAGCTGTAACCGTACCTACATGAACAGCACTATGTAAATCATATTGTGAGATACTACGCAATGTCTTTATTTGTTTTATTTTTTTATACCAAATTGTATATATATAAAATATTATTCTTTAAATTATAAATTTATTCTTTAAAATAAATATTTTACTTTAAAAGTAAAAACACACTACAGTAATAATAAATAATTGAAAGGCAAGATTCCAGTTTTTTTTATAATATATTTACTCTTATTTAATAGTAAAACGAAACCAAAGTAGGTAATTATGAATTATAGAACTCGCTACTCCTAAACAAACTAACAAATATTATAAGAGGAATATGATGGATAGATAGAATATAAAATGCGTTATTTGTACTATATCTACTGAATGCACTTAAACTGAAGCATGTATAAGTATAACAAGACGAGCAAATTGCTAAAAGCAATCTTTTGAAAATATCCTTTGGATAACAGCGTTGGTAATGGAACAAGCAGTTATAAAGTATTTCATTCAAAATTATTATAAGTTACGTACCTAGATACCATGGAAATATAAAAAATACTTACAAAATATAAAAAAGCAAATATACATAGATATTGCAAAAGATCGGCTATTCTTACATTCTGATACTGCGAAACCGCTGAAAATAGATAAAAGGCTTAGAACAATAGTAGTGTCACTGATAAATCTGAAAGCCTCTTTCCGAATCGTCATTTCCAATTATATGAGTAGGTTAACGTAATATTCTAAAACTTATATTTTGTAATGCTTTTGTTATCACGCAATGATTAATTTTCTTTATCATTTATTTATAAATTATTTACAATAGCCCTCAGCGCATAAAAAGAAATAAAAAGTCATTATTATTATTATTAACATATAATTTTAAATTATTAGTGTAATATAATATAAACAAATTAAAATATAGATTGTTGTGGTTCATTTGTAATCGACTTAATTACGTTGATTGACAAATAAAAAATGCTCATTAGTATGTTAGCTATCTTTCAAAAAATTAATAAAATCATATAATAATTTGCCTGATACAATAAAATTAAACATATTAAAAGATTTTTCTGATAATTGAAGCATATTACACTATTCAAGAATATTTGCTAGGTAATAAATAATATAAACGTCTTGGCACATGTTATGAATCTTTGTTGACTAGTGTTTATAAGTGACTATAAACACTAGTGACTACATTTATATGTGAAATGGAATATGAATAAAATAAAAATAAAACAAACCTGACTTTTCTTCTAATAGATACGCATACAACTGGCGTCTGCCGGCCGCGAGACGGAGAGCAAACAAAAGGAATATGATTGGAGTGAGATGAGTGGCGCCCACGTCTCAGATAACACCTCAAGGATCAGATGACCAACGCTTTAATAAGTTCACGGCCAGCTTTAAAACGTTTTCCTATAGATTATCCATATAGAATATACTCTTTTATTTAAATCAATTGTGGTAGTACTATTATTTTGGTCAATCAAAATAAAGTTTGATCTTATGGTGAAAGTGAAAGAACGTCTCCAAATACATGTTTTACAAGCTGTAGTCCGGATTGACGATTGAAATATGCTTATGCTATACGTATGCTTGACGTATGGAATCATAACATCCTAGTCTTCAGGGTTAGCAACGTATGAGATGTGCGACGCGTAACAAAGTATTTTGTGACATATGTAATACTATTCATGTATATGATCAATAATTAAAAAAAGTCACAACTTTTTTTCTTTCTTAATAATAACGGTACATTACTAGATTTGACTAGGATAATAAAGGAAAAATACACGGTAAAAGGTAAAATAGAGAAGGAAAAGCTAAACCGTTTTATTATGAACAGAGATCAATTATCAGCAGTGATACAATAATGAGGTATAGATGATAACTACGATTATTCTTACTCTTCCAGCTAAGAAATTGGTGTTGTTCTTTTAGTTCTCTTACAATACCTTGGTAACGAAAAGAAGTCGTGACAAATTGTATTCCTACTACATCTCAATACCAATGTCGCTAGATTGTGCAACATTGCAATGCTTAATTACTAAGCCTATAATAGATTCAGGCAATACGGCGCCATACTATTTTATGAGCCCATTAAGTACATAATTACAGTTTTGCAGTCAATAAACGTAGGACACTTAACTACCAATGTAAAATGAAACGAGTAGTTGTGGGTTATCTCAGTATTTCCTGATAGCCAAAATCTGTGATTATATTATTTTGTTA